AAAGAGACCATTTGCTCCTCTGGAGGACTGTGACGCTCAGACTAAGGTAAAGAAGACCCCTTTGTGTTTTTAAAAACAGACCTTGTTCTGTTTTTTGTTTTTTTTCTGGGTAGCTGTAAACCCAACACTATGTGCACAGACAAATATCCGAAAACTTACAGTTGCAGCATGAGTGGAGTGGAATTTGTCATTACAACACCAGATGGATTTGATTCATGAGATCCAATTTGGCCTGATTCCATGTATTCAGAGCAAAAAGTTGGCAAATCAGCCACCAGAGCTAAATTATGTATTTGATTTTTGGTAGATATTTGTGAGCTGTACGAGTTTAAAGAAAGGAGTCATAGAAAAGGGTCATATGTCCACCTTATACAGTTGTGACCAAAAGTGATGTCCAGACAGGATATATTGGTTTTAATGAACTCTACAAGTTAAATTAAAACATTAAAACATTTTACATTTCATAGAAGAACAGAACACTATTTTAAGACAACATAATCAGTTATTAATATTTAGATTGTTCTCTCTTGTTTTTGTATGTGTTCATCTTCTTTGTATGACAGCCTGGCCAAAAAATATGTTCACACAATTTTGGCATGTCTCATTTAGCCTGGTAATACCAGACTCTGCTACTTCACTTTGCTTCGTAGACAGAGTCTGGAATGGCATAATAGAGAAGTGTTTTCTCTCACACTAGGGGACGCTTCTCTGAAGTTTAAAATCATTGGTTACCCGTAAGCCAAACAGATTTATTTATGCCGATACAGCCGCATCAAACCACAGACATCATGCATCGAACTCGAATCTATGATCGAACTTCCACTGTAAAGCTTCTGTCATTTGCCGCTGGCTCTGATGTCTAGTGGTTAAACATGATATATAATTCGTCTTGTGTATATCTAACGGGCGATCTTTGGTGTCATTAATCTGTAATTTGTTCCTTGGCAAATCGTTTTGGCTGAGGGCAAAATAAAGTTTCATAACTTTATCCTTTAGGCTATTTTAACGTTGTATCCTGCTGTAGATGTCTATGGTTTTTATGATGTTGATGTATGTCCAAGCATTACCATGGATCAAATGTGTGAAATCAGAACAGTAACTCATATTTATTAAAGATTACAACAAAATGACAGGACATCGTTTGACAAAAGATGGTTACATAAAATAAAAACAGTGAGAATGCATAATGTTACCTCTACATTCACATTTTGTGCCAAACTGAATATGTAGCATAAGTGGGCAAAATGAGTTAACAAGTTCAATCTTTCCTGGGCGAAAAATCACTTCTCGAAAAGATGTGCACAGACAGCAAATTCATATCAGCGTGCCAGTGTGTTGACATACCCGTCACTAACACCAACACTTTTCCACGCACGCTATTGAATGAAGGCAAAAAATACGTAATGCATGTCAGACCCCACACGTAGGCGCCTGCTCTATTCCCTGGGAAAATAACCTGGAGAAAGTTACAGACATTATAGCAATCTGCAGGTGTGTGAGTGGCAACCATTTTTATTTGCTTTGTTGAAAAGTGTAATGGTTATATATAAAAAACTGGGTTATCCATCCCCACAGATCATCTGAAAACACGAAATCTCCCCTCAGCCCACCGTCTATGTAGCTAAACACTTGATGATGCCAGCGAAATGCCGGCGTGATGGCTGTAAACGACTTTTGCAGATGATGCGAAGTTAATCTGCGTAGTCAGGCTATGTCTCATTGCGTTGACTCCATCACTCCAAGCACAACTGCCCAGTATGCTTACACATTCTTTAACAATTTTTCAATGATATTACATTAAAAGGAGATGTCAATTTTCCTAGGCTGGACATCACTATTGGCCACTAATTTGCCTCTTTCTCATTCTTTATCTTCTCTGTCCATCTTTGACCAAGCTCCTAGCTAGTAAAATAGGTTGGTCAGTAAATCCATCTCATCAGTTTAAGATAAGCATCTGTTATTGTCATCCTGCGTTTTCAAAGTAAAACTAAGTTTTACATTGTTTGCTTGAGACAATTTGTACCAATTTTAGAAAACCAAAATGTATTTTGTTGGTTCTATATACATATTCAACAAAGTGGACAGAAATATGCAATATAGTCTCATATTAACATCAATGGATTTGACCTACCTCTCCTACCTTTCTATCTTCTATCCTGATCCTGGTCCTTGGTGCTACGCAGTCGGGTGCAGATAGCCAATCAAAACGCAGTACTCTGAGCAGCACCTGTTCCGTCTGTGGGAAGCATGTTCACCTGGTTCAGAGGATCCTCATTGATGGCAAACTTTATCATCGGAACTGCTTCAGGTGACTGGCGAACTACCTAGCATAATATCTGCATCAGACGAAAAGTTGTTTCTTTTGTTTCTATTTAGTTTGTTGTTGTAATGCCATCCAGATCCATCTCAGAATAATGTTCCGAATTTGCATTTTTGGAACAAAAAGGAATTATGGATTTAAAGCTTAGAGTGAAAAAAACATCATTCTTCTGTTGTCATCACTTTTTTGAGTGATAATTTCTGCTTTCGTTTCAGATGTAGGGAATGCAGCAGAACTTTACTGCCTGGTTCTTACAAGTTCACAGAAGATCCTGGATCATTAGTTTGCACACACCACTTCACTAGATCTGTCTCCAACAATAAGAATGGTCATTCAGATAGAAGTAATCGACTAGTCACATTAACCTCAACAAGCCCAGAAGATCCACATAGTAAGAATTTAGAATCTAAAGCATCACACAGCGATGTTGAGATCACCCCAGTGAGAGAAGAAAAAGAAATAAGTGAAATAGAAGAAGCAGTAAGTGAGCAGGCAGATAGCAGGTCAAACGTTGAGATAGAACCTCGTTCTAATAGTCCACCAAATCCTTTTGATGAATCTGAAGAGGAGGATCAGGGCACACAACAAGAAGACCAAAAGGTATCCGCTAATGAGGCCAATGACGATGGGCCAACGACCAAAGTGAAGGGTACAGCAGCAGAGGGTCGACCAGTACCAGCACCTAGACGGGTATTTGAGCCCACCCCTGCTCCTCGCCCAATCCCGAGGCTACGCTCACCCAGACCCTCTGAAAGTCCTACTGTCAATGGTGAGCAAAATGTCTTGCATAAAATAAGTTATTTACATGTTTTACACGTGTAAAATGTTTTATCTATCTGTTAATTGTGGCTTTAGAAGATGCTGACACTCCAATTCCCCAAGTTCCTTTGCCAAAAGAAAGATTGCACTCACCTGTTCGGTAAGATAATTCCTGATATCTCCTCTGCTCTTATTATGCACCTGTGTCTTTGTTTGTGGTTCAGATTTCGTTTCCATTTCATGTACACTACTGGTCGAAAAGTAAGTTTCATCAAAAAGACAGTAATATTGTGAAACATTATTACAATTTAAAATAAACATTTTGTATTTTAATAGATTTTGTAATGTAGTTAACTTATTACTTTGACAAAGCTGAATTTTCAGAAATCATCACCTGAATCATTACTATGAAATGACTCCCATATGCTAATGGTGCTCAGCTATTAATAATGGTTCCTGTTATTATCAATGTGGAAAATAGTTTTTGCTGATTCATAAATTTGTGGAAACTGATAATTTTTTTCGGGATTATTTGATGAATAGAAAATAAAAATATATATTTTGTATATAATAGAGTGCCAGTGTTGCTTCTCCATCCCTAAAAAAATGTGTCCTCCTTATTGTTCTTTATATCATGCATGTTATAATTGTTCATGTGTTTTTTTACTGTTTTTATTTCCTGTTGTTAGAAAAGTGGGCCTAACCTCTATATGCACACCCTGGGAGGTGGGGAAATGCTCATTTAAACTAATTTAGGAAATATCAATTGTGCAAATGACAAGATTTTGTTTTCTCTTTCCTGTATGTTGTATATATTGATTGTTTTTAAACTCTTTGTCTTAACTATCATTGAGGGAACTTAGTTAGTTCTTCAGAAAATGGTACGTTCCAATTTAAATAGAGGTGTGAAAATTGTGCATTTAAAGGGATAGTTCACTTTGAAATTAATTTTTGATATGTTTTAGCTTACCTCAAAGGCATCCAAGATGTAGGTGTCTTTGTTTCCACAGTATTTTCAATTTTGATATTTTTCGGTCAAACCGTTGTTGTCTATCAGTCATAAAATGGAGATTTATGGGGCCCACCTCAAAGAGCATGCACAGAGAAGTCCAAATTAAACATGATTTAATAACTCGTAAGTGTAAGTACACATTGATGGCCTAAGACACGAAACGAGCAAACGAACACTATTTATATCCAACTGATCAGAAGGCACGGGCGCTTCGGTCTGCACATGCGCCGGAAGTGATCTCTTGCGTGTGTACGACACTCATTGTTTACACAGAGATTTCGGAAGTTTTACCTTTCACTGTGAAGATCTAAACATATTTAGATATATCGAAATCCTGTATATCTAAATATGTTTAGATCTTCACAGTGAAAGGTAAAACTTCCGAAATCTCTGTGTAAACAATGAGTGTCGTACACACGCAAGAGATCACTTCCGGCGCATGTGCAGACCGAAGCGCCCGTGCCTTCTGATCAGTTGGATATAAATAGTGTTCGTTTGCTCGTTTCGTGTCTTAGGCCATCAATGTGTACTTACACTTACGAGTTATTAAATCATGTTTAATTTGGACTTCTCTGTGCATGCTCTTTGAGGTGGGCCCCATTAAATCTCCATTATATGACTGATAGACAACAACAGTTTGACCGAAAAATATAACAATTTAAAATACTGTGGAAACAAAGACATCTACATCTTGGATGCCCTTGAGGTAAGCTAAAACATATCAAAAATGTATTTCAAAGTGAACTATCCCTTTAAGAATGATCAGAAGGGAAATGGGGGAATAGAGAGTGGTTTGGTGCCTAATGCAAAGGTTGTAAATTCTGCTTGAGCATGAGAAACTTCAGTCTCCAACAGTTTATGAGAGAAGTTGGTGCTAGGTTTTAGTACATCAACAGTGCTAATTTTAAGACTGTTTTGTAGCCTTTGTTTTTATATTTTCCTGCTCTTATCCACTGTTGCATGGACCTTTTGCACTTTCTTCTTTTGGAAACAACCTTTAAATGGTTGCCTGGTGTAATTCTCCTTGTGACCGCTTGGGTCTCAACCACATACATACATCTATTTTAAATTGTAGTTATCTCTACAATTTTGAATGGCAGTGCATCACAGTTTCCACAAAAATGTTAAGTAGCAATCTTTTCACCATTGATATTAATAAGAAATGTTCCTTGAGCACTAAATCAGTGTATTAGAATAATTTCTGAAGGAACACTGAAGACTGGAGTAATGATGTTAAAAAATTCAGCTTTGCCATCACAGGAATGAATTATATTTTAAAATTCATTAAAACTACTATATATATATATATATATATATATATATATATATATATATATATATAAAATAACTACTTATTTTAAATTGTAATATTTCACAATATTAAATATGCAGCATTGCTTAGCATTAGAGACTTCTGACAGAAACATTAAAAGAACTTTCTGAAATCCGGAGTGATTTTCATTCAGTGGTTGTAATGCATTCCTTTCCCAGCTCTAGCAAGGCAAGTGACACTCCAAAACCAAAAAACCCTCCCTGGCTGGCACTGGTGCAATCAGAAACAAAGAAGAAACCAGCACCTCGCCCACCCACAGGTATAGCCCTACCTTCCTGCACTGGTTCATCTCCATCTCGAAAGGAGGAGGGATCCAGACCATCCACTCCTCCAAATCCCTTTGATGATGAGAATGAAGAGGAGCCAGAAAAGGATCCTGAAGATCCCCCTGGTCCTGTAGTGGCTAGTCATCCCTGGTATAGGATCACTCTGGCTGCTGAAGCCGCAGGTGGGGAAACCAAAACACAAAATCCTGCCCCTTCAGAAAGTCCCGTAAGTGTCAGAAGAAAGAAGCGACCAGCTCCCAGAGCTCCAAATTCTTCCACATCAGGTTAGTTGTTTACAGTTTCTGACACCACCATACATTTTGCTTAAAGGGAAAGACTGTATTTTAATTGTTTAAATGTCTACTAAACTAAACACTTTGCCATGCTTGTCATAGTAAGGTGATGTTACGATACTGGTTCCCAATAGTCCCCAAAATAGGCTTATGCTATTTCTGCTTTAAGTATATGTGTATATATATATATATATATATATATTTTTTTTTTTTTTTTTTAAGGCATAAGTCACCCAAAAATTCTGCCATCATTTACTGACCCTCAAGTTGTTTTAAAGGGGTCATGAACTGGCTTTTTAAATTTTATTATATTGTTGTCTGAGGTCAACTTGGTTTTTGCATTCAAGAACATCAAAATGAATAAGTAATAGCTATTTCGTACCCAAGTTGTGAGCCTACCTGAAAAACAGTCGGTTTTTATGGGCATGTCGCACTGAAGACTTGGAAGTAAACGCCCACTGCTGCGAGTGGAGAACAGTTTTGCATATTATAATGAGTTTAACTCACGGGGGAAAACGTCCAATGTTGTAAAATGGCAACCGGATTCGCCCATACATGTTCGACCCAGAGTCCGTGTGTTGCACAATTCCTGTCAGATCCAATTATAGACGGCACAGCACTGTTCTTTAATCTTAATAGGTCTGCAAATCCAGTCTTGTTTACAAAACAATCATATGTGAAATGAAGCGAACAGACGACGATGTTTTACCCCAGTTTATCCATGCAGTCCTATTGGAATCCACAGGAAGCTTATGCAGTGACTGTCTTCTCCCACAACAGACACTGCACAATATTCTGTATTGCTCGGTAGCTCGATCCGGTTTGTCATCATGAGGTGAGAATGTATGTTACTTAGCTATGCCTGAAATGCGCGAATCGGTGGGCGGGGCTAAACCGGCCATGTTGAAGTAGGAGTCGATCTTCTGCGTGGGTGGTGTTTTATCCTCTTTGTCGTCATAGTTCCCCACTTTTAAAAATGAGTCGTTTGCAGAGGCTGGTGTCAATAAAAGCTTTTATTAGACTAACTAGGATGTTTTCAGTTCTGAAACTTACAGGATATTCTTATAATATGATGACATCTTAGATGTAAAAATTTGATTTCTCAGTTCATCACCCCTTTAAACTTGTATGAATTTATTTCTTCTGCTGAAAATAAAAGAAGATATATTTGAAGAATATGGCAAACCAAATAGTAGATGGGACCCATTGACTTCCATAGTATACTATACTTTGGTTAGCCATATTCTCCAAATATATCTTCTTTTATTTTCAGCAGAAGAAAGAAATCCATACAAGTTTGAAACAACAACCTGTGAGCAAATGATGACAGAATTTTAATTTGTGGGTGAACTATCCCTTTAACAGTAACCAACCACTATTCATTTAGTGAAAAAAAAAGCCAAAAAAGGGGGTAAAAATATGAATTATTTGAATGCAGTTTTCATGCAAGTCACACTAGTGTTATATTACAGCCAACAGAAATATAGCATTTCAATTTAGAGTTAGAATATTGTTATATACTACTAATAATTATTAATTTAATATACTTGTAAGTCTGCCCAGTTTACTGAGGACCTTTGTGAGCTCTGGCCCCTATTTGAGAATCACTGTGTTACAGGAAATTGTAGTTGTCTACTATAACGACGCACATCTGTATTTTCTGTCATATATTTATTTTTCTGGGTTGTCTCTTTCCTGCTATTCTTTAGCTTTTCCTTCATCTCAGACTTCCTCTCCTGCTTCTTCTCTAGCTCCGAGCACAGAGAGCCTTTCCTCCTCTTCCTCAGACTACAGTGCTGTCCCCCAGCAACCTGCTGCTAACCAACAGGATCATGTGTTCACCAAGAGTATATCTGAACCATCAATCAACACTCCTACTTCTGCCCTTTCCACAACAACTGAGCTTCAGCCTCACTGTTCTTCAAACCTTTCTCCTCCACCACCACCACCACCACCTACCAATACCAGCTCAGCACCCGCCACCCCACAAACCAGTCGCAGTATGAGACCACCTCCATCCCGCCCCTCTGCAGGGTTAAAACTTTTACCCTCTTCACAGACACCCAGCACTCCAGGCAAGGTTAGATTTACTGTCAAGACGTGAACTGCTATTCAAAAGTTTTGAATCAATCAAGACATTTTAATGTTTTTTTGAAACAAAACACAGCATAGCGTACTTGATTACGGAATACAGTTGTTTAAATTAAATGTCTATTTTGACACGTGTTTTCCTCTGGCATAACTTACATTTTATCTGTAAATGTTAGAAAGTCCCGTGAGCATTTCCATTTTTGCATATTGACAACAAGCGTCTTGTTAAACTTCACAGACTTCAATCGGTGGGCGCATGGGGGTCAAATAGACGGAGCACAGTAGAACTGTCAGGAGCACAATTTGGACTAAAGTACAGATTTAGCTAAAATGGGATGTTTTTCTGCAGTTTATACACGGAGGAAGTGTTGGCCCTTAATGACACGTTTTAACTCCTTTAAAATTAGCTGAAAAATGTAACTGCTTTTTCATTTTCAAAAATATTTTATTGATTAGTAATGGGGCAGTGGAGAAAACAAGGGTGTGTGTCAGATTTCATTACAAGTTCACATCTTTGAATTTTTCTTTCAATCCAGTTGCTTTGCTTACTTAATTTCTTTGTTCAATATCTTTGTTTCATGGTCTCTCATCACTGTCATCTTCAGCGCACTTGTAAAGAGAATCCATTTAATCGGAAGACGACCACTTCTGTCAGCTCTTTTGTATCCAGACCCCCAAAAGGTCCCCGTCCTGCACGACCTCCTGCTCCTGGACATGGATTTCCTCTCATTAAACGCAAAGTGAGGCACAAGAGACATCCTTTTGTTTTGACTATTTTAAGAAAGGTACTATAACTGTGGCATATATAATTTATAAATATTTGTCCTGTCATTGTATTTGGTAGGTTCAATCAGACGAGTATATCCCAGTAGAAGACATCCATGTTGAGATGAGTGACCTGGAGAAACGGTTGGATGAACTGGAGCGGAGAGGGGTGGACCTGGAGAAGAGCTTACGAGAATGTTCAAATGGTAAGAACCACATGCTACAGGATGCTATCCAGTGTCCCAGAGTGGCTCGGTCCTCAGTGGAGTTTGTGTAGTGTTCCACGCTAAAGGCCATTGCACACTGAGTCCGAGATTCGCATCCGAAATTTTCGCGCGTTAAAAAAAAAAAAAAATCGACCTCATGTTATGTCAATCATGCTTGCACACCGCGTCCGAAACTTTCGTCCGTCAAAAAAAATTCGGATCGGGTTTTATTTTCTGCGTTTTTCGCATCCACAGCCAGCATTTTGAGAGGTTTTTTGACAATTCAGGGCAGAGGGGAGCTCGTTTACTGTCTATGGAGCTCATTCCGCACATCATTACGCTTTCATTTTCAGTTTTCAATTGGATCAAGTGTTTATCTTCTCTTCTCTCGATTGGATTATGAAAGGAATAACCACCCCTTTCAATCAGATTGAAATTTCGGATCGATTAATGTGTGATTGAGCAACCAATTCGATAACTAATGTATTATTTGGGTACAATATATAGACCATTTCACAAGATGTAAACAACACTGGTCCAGAAGCACTTCCTGTTTCAGTTTTTTAACACTACATAAAAGCTGGAATAAAAATACTACCAACAGAACATGTAAAACTGAATCAAAAAGTTAAATAACATCATTAAGATGTTTTCTTTACATGTGAAATAAAGAAAACAGTTACAAACTGAAACAGGAAGTGCTTCTGGACCAGTGTTGTTTACATCTTGTGAAATGGTCTATAACCTGTAGTAGCCTGTACAGCTTCTGTCTGCCCAGCACTTACACCAGGCACACCTGCCCAGCGTGCGTGTGTGTGTGTGTCTGTGTGTCCATACCTGACAGTCTCTGTTCAGAATCGATTGGTTCACGGAAATTGGTGGTCTTGTTTTTAAAATGTGGCTCCAAAATCGCAAGCAAAGCATCAAACTGTTCCACTGACATTCTGAGGTAGATTTTGAATCGCTCGGCATAAGTTCGCAACTCCTTGATAAGGAGGTGCTTCCTCTCGATGCAATTCCAGGATTAGATGGACGCAATATTTTCTCTTTCTTCTCGAGAGGACAACAAAATCATCCTCACTGCTTGACGAATCCATTTTGTATTTTTGCGTTTTTTTCCGCAATTGGTTTAATAAATACGCATCGGACTCAGTGTGCAAGGTTTCTGTGCGTGACGAATTTTAAGGCTGACGAACACGAACAAACGCATACAATTTCGTACTCAGTGTGCAATGGCCTTAAGATTTTGGCTCGCTTAAGACATGTTTGGTTAAAAACCAAACATGCATCGAATCGTCCTATATTTGCGATACATCTGCGAGTTGAAAGAGTTGACTGAAAGTAATTAATCAATGGCATTTTATTGAATTCTTTGTCTGTGCACTCATTACCATCTTTCATATTGTGAACTGTAACTGCACTCAGCCAGGTTATCTAATGTTTCTTACCTGTAGATCATCTAAACAGAGAAGCAGACAGTTCATTTGGTTTATAGAAGCTAATCATCCTGAGACTGAGCCCCAGACTAAGAACTTGTGCTAATCTTCATTAAAGCTGCTGTCCGTAACTTTTTTTAAGTTAAAAATAATCCAAAATAATTATTTAAAAAAAAAACATATTCTGCCAGTGGTCAAAACTATCTGCTTGCCATAGCTAGATTTAAAACAGTTAGCTTGTAATAATGATTTTAAAGGATTAGTTCACTTTTGAAAAAACTTTTGCTGATAATGTACTCACCCCCATGTCATCCAAGATGTCCATGTCTTTCTTTCCTCAGTCGAAAAGAAATTTAGGTTTTTGATGAAAACATTCCAGGATTTTTCTCCATATAATGGACTTCAATGGGAACCGGATGGTTCAAGGTCCAAAAGACAGTTTATAACTGTTTCAGATGCAGCTTCAAATGTCTTTAAACGATATCAGACGATGAATAAGGGTCTTATCATGCGAAACGCTCGGTTATTTCAAAACTTATTCCAAAAATGTAACTTTTCTAAGGACAAATGCTAACCTTGCTCTATTCTGTGAGGCGCGTTTGCAACGTCACGTATTACGTAATTACGTTCAAAAGGTTACGGGCGACGTAGCCGAAAGTACAGAGTCAGTGTTTACAAGTTGAACGCATAGGTTGAACGTGCAAACTAGCTCAAACACCGTTTACAAAAAAAGGAATTAAAAGGAAAAACAACGATGTCGGACGATTTTGATTCTGTACTTCCGGCTACGTCGCCCGTGACCTTTTGAACGTAATTACGTATTACGTGACGTTACAAACGCGCCTCAGAGAATATAGCAAGGCTAGCATTTGTCCTTAGAAAAGTTACATTTTTGGAATAAGTTTTGAAATAACCGATCGTTTCGCATGATAAGACCCTTATTCATCTTCTAATATCGTTTAAAGACATTTGAAGCTGCATCTGAAACTGTTATTAACACTATCTTTTGGACCTTGAACCATCCGGTTCCCATTGAAGTCCATTATATGGAGAAAAATCCTGGAATGTTTTCATCAAAAACCTAAATTTCTTTTCGACTGAGGAAAGAAAGACATGGACATCTTGGATGACATGGGGGTGAGTACATTATCAGCAAAAGTTTTTTCAAAAGTGAACTAATCCTTTAATTCCAGTGGTACTGGTGGGTTTCCGCGGGAAATTCGAGTATGTCTTTGCGTCATTACGTCACATCCGTAAACACAAGAAGGAGTTTCGGCTAGCCGGCTATACTACGCGTGAGGAGATGTAAAGATGTATAGGCTATTCCTGCAGGCTCGCAGCACTTCACATAATTAAACTTATGGCATCCAGAAGGATCCAAACAATCATCAGTGTCAACTGGAGATTCAGCAGTTATAAAACCCAAAAGACTTCGTACTTCGGATTTAAGGTGTCTAGAGAAAGAGAAAGAAACTGTCTCATGCGAACACAAGGATTTAAACATCGGCGGGGCTTTTGAAAAGTGCCTGAACTCCGTGTTTTGAAGGGGTTCAAAACGGAAGAAGAGACTGCTTTTTTCTGCTGAACAAGTAAGACATTTCAATAGTTCAATCGTGTAACAGTACGTTTTCTTAATTCACACAGTAATGGAGTTTCCTTTCTTTTGCCTTTCTCGCTTTGCTATTATGGAGAATATGAATTCTGAACTACAGGTAACCATAAAACACATTAAATTTAACATTAGTCACGCAATGCTGATTTTGTTAACATGAACAATTTGAGAACAAAGTAGGCTATAATTTCCACGGTTGCTGTAAATCGCGTTGATTAAATCTAACGACGCTTATGTCGAATTCTTTTCCCCCTTAGTTGATCAGAACAAAATGGATGTTACTTACTTGTTCAGAAGACAATTTCCGGTGAATATTCTTATGTTGTTCAAACTTTCAAAAAGTAAATCTGTGATTCTGTATGACAGTATCCACACAGCACGGTGATTGACAGCAGCACTCACCTCAAAGCACTGTGTTCTTCCGTGTTCCACTGTGTTCTTCTAAATTGGTTTCATGCCAATTTACAACCCACGTAAAGATGATAATTCCGCGAATAACTCCAATTGCAGATTTCGAACAGAGATGGCGACAAAGAGGAAAAGCTACGGACTGCAGCTTTAAAATACACTCTGGTCTATGCAAATTGTCCCATTTTTGGCTCCTTTTTTAATTTTATTTTGTCATTTTAGATGATGAGGAGGAACATCTACTTGTTGACTGGTTTACTCTAATTCATGAAAAACACCTACTGGTACGGAGAGAGGCTGAGCTGGTCTACACGTAAGTGCACTATTGGCATTCATTTAGTCTGCAACATCAATAACAACATGCTATACTAATTTACTGTTGCACAGTGGTTCTTAAACTTTTTCACTGTGTTGCCCCACTTATGTATGATGCAAAACAATCTCCAACTTACATTTATAATTGAATAATAAACAAATCACTAAAATAAACTTATACAATGCTGGAAAATGAATTTAACCACACTACAAATGCACACAACTAGACCGTTGAGAGAAGGGTGAGAAAAAAACAACAACTTTCTGTTTCTCAATATATGAGTTAAATTCTTTTTGCACTATGCTCTATTATTTAATTTTCGTTAGCTATGAGAACTTGTTTTCTATTTAAAAACTTAAATGATCTCAAATGTTCTTTCAGTGTATATTTAGCAATCTATCCGATATCTGTTCAGTGACATTTCATTTAAGGCATATTTCACACACAGTGCAGGAGCGGTAAGTGATCGTTTTCTTTTTGGTTGCCTTAATAGATTACAGCACACGTGTTGCCTCCCAGAACCGGCAGTACACATTTAGTTTAAGTGCTCAACCTATTTTTTCCTGCGTGGTGCACGCTGAACTCAGCAACTCTGTCCACAGACTCGAAAAGAAAAGCTAATAAAAACTTGAACTCTGAAATGCACACAATTGAAGCTGCAACACTGCTGGTAGGGAGATTTATGTGAATTATTTACTATTTTGACATAATTTGATCTTCATCCTAATGTACATAAGATTCCACGACGATCAAGTTTATAATGATTATCAATTTCCCTCTCTCAAAACAATCTTTTTTTTCACAGTGTAAAACAGACTGATTGAAGGAATTAGAAAAATTAGAATGCAGGATAGCACTGAAATTTAATCTGATTTTATTCTATAAATGTATAACATTTTATGTATGTTTAATTAATTTTTTTAAATATATCATTTTAACACTGCCACATTTGTGCCATATTGTAACCCGCAGTTTAAGAACCAGGTTTTCAAAGTTCCTGTCCATTGAGCTGTCAATATAATAATAATAATAATATACAGTATGCAACACCTTGGAGATGGAGGTTGGGTTAAAGTTAAATATGAAAGAAGAATAAATCTGTGTCTGATTACTGTCTGGATTTCAGAGCTAAGCAGCAGAACCTGGAGGAAAGGCAGGCCGATGTTGAATATGAGCTTAGATGTTTACTTAACAAGCCAGGTATGAAACAACACAAAACAGTGAGAATTTACTGATTGACCCTTTCTTGTGAGCAAACCCTCCCCCTTTCCCTTAATAACTGCATTATTTATGCTGCTTATGTCTCTGATAGAGAAAGAATGGACGGCAGAAGACAAAGACAGGGAAAAGCAATTGATGGCAGAACTTGTCACTATAATTGAGCAGAGGAACCAGATTGTTAACAGCATAGATATGGACAGACAGAGGTAATCGGTCAATGCACATGCACTCTGATTCAGAACCTAAGCTTAAGTATCTGTGCTATCTTAGCTGTTTTTTCCTGTAAATTTGATATGAAATAGAAGGTTATGTTTTTATTTGCATCAAGTTTGAATGCTGTTTTGAGGAGTTTGTAATTTCGTATTTAGGGAGGAGGAGGAAGACAAACTAGTAGCTGCTATGCTAAAGAAAAAAGGTCAGTGTTATTTCACTTTTCTCTGACTTACTTTACATCACATCCTGCATTGATTCATCTATTTGATTCATCTATTTAGATTTTCATGGACACGGTGAGCAGAAGAAGAAAGCAGGGAAATTTAAGCCCATGAAGGTTTTGAAGAGACTGAGCACCAAGAATGAAGGAGTAAAGGACAACAGTCCCCGAAAAGAGAACAGTTGAAGAATGGACTCAGGGGGAGAGAAAAATATCTAAAGTATCTGAAATATTTACATAGCCTAATTCTAATTATTGCTTTTGATTACATTGCTATAAAACAAAGCCAGTTCAATTGAAGGTAGTAGCAGCTGATATATAAGTCAAAACTGAACACAGTCTTGATCAAAGTTTTATGACTATCTCTAGAAAGGCTCAGCCACTATATAATCTTACTATAATCTGTACAATTTGAAGTTACAGAAAGCTGATACTGATTGTGATTGAGATGATATTGAGAGTCCAAAATAACCCTGGGAAAGTTTCACACATATCCTTCTTTTAAACTAATTTTAACAGTGAGAGGAAACTCAACAGTTTTTAATCCTAATTTAATCTGATTCTCTGAGTTTTTATATATATATATTTATATTATGCATAGAGGTACTGCTACTTGTATTTCTCTCCACAATGAAGAGTGAAAAAAAAACTAGGCCCAACCCAGCCCTTTCATAATTAATTATAGAAGTCTTGCTGAGATGAAAGCAGAAATGATTAAATTTGCAGTTTATATTAGTTCTGGGGAAAATTATATTATGTCGATATTTCTATGGGATTCAGAATGATGATTATAGATGCATATCAGATTTTTATCTGCCTGTCTCTGGTTGCACCAGCTGTGCTTAATAAAAAAAAGAAGAAAAAAAAACCTTGTTGCAAATAGGCACTAAATTACAATTTGCGCAGTATTAAATATTTGAGCATTGCGCCATAAAATGTAACTACATGTTTAATCTTTAGTACACTAAAAATTTACAAAAGCCTCCGAATAGGAGTAACAATTGGAAGAAAATAGCAGTTTGATTGAATTGCATCAATTAACTCATGCTTTATCTGAAAGAATTCAATCCTTGTTGACTGACTTTAAGAAAGAGAACATTGTGAAAAAAAATTACTTGGATCTCTACAACATGAACCTGATCTGAAAAGTGCACCGCTGTGTATCGCTCTGTGCCAAAATTAATGCAATTTGTATGTGTTTTTTTTTTTTTTGCATTAGTATTTATGTATTGCTTCTTATTAATTTATTTGTATTTACAATGGTATTTATAATATTATCGTTATTTTGTCATTAAACATTGTATTTAAACAGAAATAATACTGTACTATTAGTTAATTAAGGCAATAATAGAGTTAGGATCAACTTAAATATGATAAACTGAAATTCTTTATTGGAGCATTAAAGGTAATTTTCATATAATGGGATGATGCAATACTCTACAACCGGCTTACGACTTACTGTCTCCTCCCTTCAGAACAAAATTACAAAAGGTAGAATTAGGAGAATTAGTTACAAACTAATTAGTATTCCAATGTTCCAATTTAAACAAGAACTTACGAACAGCTGGTGCAACCCTTCCCTGGACAATATTTTTATATACACATTAATTTTAAAAGTATACTCATTCATAGACCGATTGGCTAAAAATGCATTTTGTGGGACAGCCTTTAGATTTAATTACAGCCTACATTTGTCATGTCATTGTTTTGACAACCTTATGCAACATCACAACATTTATTTCCATCAAGAAATGCATTAATGTTTGGCTGAGATTGTCTATTGACAGTCAAAACACTCTCTACCCCAGCACACCCAAAGACTTTCGATGAGGTTATATTCAGGACTCTGGTGGTCAATTGATTTGTGAAAATGATTCCTCATGCTACCTGAACCACTTTTTCACAGTTTGAGCCCAATAATTCTTGCAATTGTCATCCTGGAATATGGCCATGGTGCGACATGATCTTCGGTAATGTTTGGTTGTTTTAAGAGATAAAAAGCTACACTGTATTAGTTCAAATAATTGTTACCAAACATATAACATGCCAGAAATATATTGATAACTGCAATAATGATCCAATTCTAGATGTTCTGGTCAACCAGTGTATTTATTATGAATAATATTTAACAGAATAATATTGAAAAAAAAATAATGTTGAAAAGTTTTTAAAAGATATTGTTAAACACTAAATTGTTATGGTATTTACTGACAGAATATTAGTTCATAGAAGAAATTCAGAAGCAGATTTCTTTTTAAAATTTCTGTGGAAAATTGTTACAAAATCCTTAAACTTGTAAATGTATCTAATAACCCTCTGAAATGTCATTAAGCTTGTTACAGAGTTACCAGACAAATCTGCACCTAGAATCATCGGTGACAGATAAACGTTAAAATAAGAGATAACATTAAAATAAGTCTAAACTATTTTAATGAAAACAAAAAAGACTGTAACTCGCACAAACGGTGACTGTAGGCATGTTAATGTTATACAATAATTAGAGATGTAACGATTCAGTCGCAACCGGTTGAAAATCGATAAAAATGTGTGCTTAAAATATAGCAGGGCGCGTTTAAAATGTGTATCGCAATTCGTTTAACATTTCAACCGACTTGAACCGTGACACATTTTTATCAATTTTCAACCGGTTGCGATTGAATCGTTACATTCCTAACAATAATAGATGTTCCTCACTCTTTAAAGCAATATGCAATATTAAGCTTTAGTTAAATAATTTTAAAATGTTCAATGTAGAATGTCGCATGTTGTGTGTTGGGCCTTAATCTCTGTAAACCCAAGCAGGAGTATATTTCTGAAGGAGTGCCTTTAATCTGTTTAATTTATGTATGTCCTCTCATTGGTTAAGTGTCTCTGAATATTTTGTTGACATTTCAGTTTGTGTCTTCTGCAAGTATTTAATTTGTATTTATCAGATTTTAGTATTACATTTGTATGTCAGTGTGTGTGCCTGATCAACCCCAAGGGCTTTTCGTTGTCTTTAAAACAGTCAGTGCTTTTAGGATGGAGGACATTAAAAATAAAATGACTTCATGAAACAAAAACCTTTTGCTGTTTTGAGATTTTTTTAAACAAGTTTTAATGCTCATACTTGTCTAACACTACCTTCTATTATCAGCTTCTCTTTATCCATCCCGCTCTTTGCTTTATAGTTCCTCTTTTCCATTTAAATTGAGGGTCCTTAATTCTTCACTGCGTTTCCTGTCAATCTCTTCAAGTTCAAAGATTTTCTGGAAGAAAAACATCATACAATTAATACCAGAAAGTTTATAACAAAATAGTTTTAGTTTAAGACTTACAAATAGCTAATAACAAACACGAACATAAAAAGATAGATACCTTAAAAAATGTGATTTAAAAAAAAAAACAGGACATTTCACTGTGGTGCTATAAAACATTGATAACTTCCTAATTTCTCAGGTTTTTAGACTGAAACTGTTAAGTCGCATTTAAAAACTGATGATGGCTGGTGAGAGTATTGGCTGTTATGAGCTTATGATTTTGTATCCTCACCTGAGAGATCTCCGTGTTGATGAGGTGCTGGTATTGGTCACCTTTTCCCAATGCTATCATCTCCTCTAAAAACTGCCTCCTGTCCTCAATGTCATCCAGAACTGTTGGTAAGAAATGACATTAAATTATTGTTTTCATTATGATGTGTATACTACTGGGCACCTTATCAAGTTCAAGTGACTCTGTAAACGTGACTCTCCCTGCCGCCCTCTAAATGATGATTAATAAACTAAAATAAAAAACTAAATGAATAAAACTTCTTTTACAAAAAAAATATACAATTAGTTGCATTGAAATCAGAACACTCATGAGAAATGAACAGAAACCGCCTGTCTCACCCTCTTGGAATCTGTCTATCTGTTGCTCTCTTTTTTCTGTGGAGTCTCTTTGGGAGTGAGTTGGCCCAGCATCCTTTTTACCAGTAGAAAGAATATTTTGTAGCCTTCTCTTCTCTTTCTCCAGATCTCCTAGAAAGAGAAAAGAATCAGCAGGTTAGACACAGGTTAGATTCATTTATGTAGGCTGAAATATAATGTAGGCATACAGATATAATAGCTCACACTGACGATGACCATGGATACTGTATTACAAACCCAAAAACATTTTTGTACCATGTACTTTTTTGTTCTTTGTACTGTAATATTGTCAAAAACATCATACAGCTCAGATTGTAATCTGTTATATTTAGTAGAATCAAATACAATCATATTTTTTGTGGGGTTTTACTTAACTTGAGGAAGTTTTTGTATGTGAATGTGGCATTTATGTCACGTTTTCACTCTCAACTTCATGAAACCTGCTCCGACCGTGGCACATAATTATTTACAGCAGATTATCACAAGAACTCATTATTATCGGTCACTTAGATTTAAACATAGTTATAGAAAGTAATAACATAAAACCCACAGGCACATATGTAGCTAAGTAAAATAAAACTTTGCTTTCACATGGCATTTACACTTGTAATTTTATGAAACATGCACAGATAATAGTATGGATGTTCCCAGTTAAAATGAGTCCAAAATCAGCATAATACATTGTATTGATCACAAGATACAATGGAGGAACAACAATTTTAAAAATGCCTTCTAAGGGCTAAACAAAAAGGCTACCTTGGTCCTTGAGCCCATTTCTTTAAATATTTTATCAGCAGTTTCTAAGCATGAATTTCCAAATGTAATAATTTTTCTTTTTTCTTTTGTTACCTTTTGACTCTCCTTACAATCGTTTGGAGTTCTTTACTTTTTATTTTAAAAGTTTATGTCATTCAAAACAAAAAATGCCTTCAGGGCTTAAAGGGTTAATTATTTTGGGCTCCTAAGATTGTCTCACAGAAATGCTGTGGCTTTATGTATGCCTGAAGAAGAAGAAGAAGAAGAAGAAGAAGAAGAAGGAATGAATGAATGAATGAATAGGAATAGCTTTTTCCCCATTCTACCCCACTTTTCCAGGGGCATACTGGCAAAGTAGTGCACTAAATCAAGTTGTTTAAAGATGAGCTATGATTTCTGTATTAACTTATATTGAAATATGTGACGGTGAAGTTCAGTTCAATGCAAATGCGTGTTTACATGAGTAGTGTAGAGCACAGTGCTGCATATATGCAACGAAATTCATTTGAAAATCTAATGGAATTTAATGAACCTAATCCTTCTGTCAATACTAAAGACGAAGGGCATCTCAGGAACCGCACTCCAATGGTTCAAGTCTTACCTCTCAGGTAGGTCCTTTAGGGTGTCGTGGAGGGCTAAGGTGTCTAAGAACAAACATCTAGCTACTGGGGTTCCTCATGGCTCAGTGCTTGGACCAAAGCGTTTATAAGTAATAGAACGTTCCATTGCAATAAAAGCACCCATGAGCAGAGCTGCAGCTCCGCCATCTTAGACTGAATGCAACTCAGCTGTCATAGACTAGTACATTCTGGTTCCAATTCAAAAGCAGTTAGGGGAACAAAAAAATAGTTTCTAGTTATTAATATCTCAATAGCTTAAACTAAAAAAAAAAAATAATGCTTATGTATTGGTTTATAATTAAACAATTTCATCATAGAGCATGAAGCTGTCAAATAGGCTATTTATTTACCCAGTAACTTTTGGGGATAACTTCCATTTTCATACACAGCACAATTTTACGACACCAGTAACAACAGCCCATGTTCCTCATGAAATGATTGACAAATTCCTTGATAAAGCCCAAACACAATGAACAATGAGTAGGTGAAAGGGACAACACATTAGTCAAGAGAGAATATTTAGTAGTAATAAAAGATAATCACAAAATTAAAGCTGCCGTCGGCAACTTTTTTTTTAATCATATTCAGCGAATTCGACACTATATTCCGACAGAACAACATAAATAAAGTGGTTTTATCAAAAAACCCAAGCTTCGAACTCCACCTGGAGCATGTTATTTGTTTTGAAAAAATCCCCTGCTCCCGGTTCATTGTGTCGAATCAGCGCAGGGGGGTGTGAGATATGACAGTCAATCACAAGTCGTGCATGCACACGTCAATCACATGCACACGCCTGAAGTTTGCGCAGTAGCGATGGTGGAAAAGTTTCCAATTCGCCTTTGGCTAAGCCACACCCTGGAATGAAGATTGACCAATCACAGCGCAGCCAAGAACGAGCTCCCACAGAGGTCCGACACTTTCTCACAGCGCTCCATTGACTTTCAACACAGGCGTCTCATATTTTTGGTCTCGCCAGGCTATTACCGTCGTAGTTTTATCAAAAAATATGGTTAAACGTTGTGCCTGGGGCATTTAACACAGATACACGTTTCCCAGAGAGGTTGGAGGGGGGTGTCCATTTTTTTCCCTTCCCAAAACCGAAGTCAAATCCTGACAAGTATCGTCTTTGGATTAAACTGTATGGACATCCTCAGTCAGCAAAACCCCTCAAAGATCAACATGCACATCTTTCTTGCTTCTAACCTTACTGTGAAGTTATACTAGTTAGACCGTTTTATAATGTTTTAGGTTATGATTTCAGTTCTCATACCGGTTGATGATACGCTAGCACACGCTGCTAATAAATACAACGTTATACTCGTTTAGTCAGTTTGCTTTGTAATAACCATTATAGAAGTGAATAGAGACCTACCTAGCTTTGCATGAAAAGTGTTGCTCCCTGATATTGCAAGTCCCAGCCTCCGTCTCCATTAGTAGGATGTGCGGTGGTTCATTTTTTGACTGTGACCGGTAACATTATGCTTTTGCCTCTATTTTGGATGCCTTGTTATTTCTTGCGTTTCACCTGTATGTCTTGAATATAGCCTTCGAACGCATAATGTAGCCCCTTTTGCCCACTTCTATCGGACACTCTATTTGCTGCTTTATAAAAGTTTAATAATTTCAGCAGGAAAAGCTGTCACAGCATAAGCCATGTTGATACCAAACCAGAGCCCAGATGAAGTTTGACGGAAGTAGCAACAGTAACTAAGGGGGGCGGGGCTTAGCCAAAGGTGAATTCCTCGGTTAATCTCAAGAGCGAGAAGGTCAAAACCACACAGGAAAGGAGAACAACTGCTGAAAAAAAAAAGAAGTACACAAAGAAATCGACCGTGCCCGTAATAAAACCAGGATAACACATCGGAACAGCATTTAAACGATGGAGAGAATTCCGTGATTTATTTGGGTTTAAGCTGGATGCAGAGCTTGCAACATTTCTTCTCGACAGGTTTGTGCTTTATCAACCAGTTACTTTATTTCTTAGTGTTATGTTAGTAATCGAAGCATGTTTGCTCAAATGTGTTGGTATGGAAAGCTAACGTTAGCACTTTGTTGGCAGGTTCGTTAGCTTTGTTTCCACTGAAATCCGTGTGAACGTATCATTAGGTTGATAAACAGGTCCAGATGAAGGGATAAAGTTAGACTTTTTTGGAAGAATCAATGCTACTCTAACTTTCTTACTAGAGTAAGAACAGTAGTAAAGCGACTGTTATTGCATGTGCTATCTGACTACCTCTATAAGCAATAAAAAATGTACAATGACCATGTCTGCCGCGTATCCCATACAGCACACGCACTGACGAGCACGAACTCTGTGGGAGGGTATTCGTTGATAGTGAGGGAGGGGCATGAGAGTTGTAAACATTCAAAATGTTGCCAAAGTCCACTCAATCAGCCAGAGTTGCCGACGGCAGCTTTAACAGTAATAAAATTGATGATGGTAAGTAGATCTCCACATAATTTCTGCCTGAATTACACACAACAAATCAAACATTGTGCAAGTAAACACATTTACTACAAATAGAATGACAATGGTAAGTACACTCACCTAAAGGATTTTTAGGAGCACCATACTAATACTGTGTTTGACCCCCTTTCGCCTTTAGTTGTGCTAGTGGTAAAGCCGTTGGTTCAGTCCAAAATGGCGACAGCAGCACCATCTAGCGATTGTTGTCAAAACTGCAACAGAGTTTCGCCTCTTGGTACTTCTATACTCTTAGCTTAGACCACTTCTCTTCTCTGTCTAGATGAGATCACTAGGATCTGTGATGCAAAAACATGGCTTTTCCTTTCACTGCTATGCTGATGACACACAACTCTACCTCTCATTCCAGCCTGATGATCCGATGGTAGCTCGCATCTCAGCATGCCTAACAGACAGTTCTGGCTGGATGAAGGACCACCACTTTCAACTAAACCTTGCGAAGACAGAGCTGCTTGTGGTCCCGGCCAACCCAACACTACGCTACACCACAACTTCTCCATTCAGCTAAGTTTGTCATCCATTAACTCCATTAATGTCATCCAGGAACCTTGGAGTTGAGATGGATGGTCAATTGAACTTTACAGACCAACTGCCCGTCCTGCAGATTTGCCTTGTACAACATTAGGAGGATTGTCCAAGCACTTGTTCTATCCTATCCTATGGACTATTGTAATGATCTCCTGGCAAGTCTTCCAGCTTGCACTATCAAACCTCTGCAAATGATCTAAAATGCTGCAGCTAGAGTGGTCTTTAACGAGCCGAAGAGAGCACACGTCACTCCTCTCCTCACAAAACTGCACTGGTTTCCAGTTGCCACTCGCATCAAATTCAATACACTGACATTTGCCAACAGAACAACCACTGGCTCCAACCACAATCACTCTGCTCTATGATCTGCCAAACCCAACCAGAGCTGCTGAGTCCATGGCCATTTTCAATGGCTGAAGATGCATCTTTTTCGGCAACACCTAATCCAAGTGATACTAACACTTTATCGTCTATATTATCTTAAAAAAATAAAAAGTACATGTACTAAGTTATCTTAAACTGGGAGGGGTCATACCACTTGCATATAGTGTCCTATGGGCTATATGCACGCATAAGTTCCGCATTTGACGTAAGGATACTCGTCCATTTCCGGTTGTGTAGATTAAAGCGGAGGAAAACCGGAGAAAACGGGATTATGGCAGAGTCTTCAATATTTACTGTCCTCCCGTCTTTGAAACGAAACGTACATACGTTTAGATGTAATTTTATATATAGTTATGTTTATTTAATATAATTTTAAAAAGAAGCATAAACACAACGAGGGGTGTCTGTTTTATCTGTTTTTGTGACTAACGTTTCATTAGTATAACCATGGAGTATAAAATTCAATATAAATTCTCGGTATTGCATTGGACTCTATGATCGGCGGAAGTTATCGAGCATCCTTAATCCTTCACCGGAAATAACGCCGTGCATAGAGCCCATTGTTAGTTTCACTGCTTCTATTGTTCTCATTTGTAAGTCGCTTTGGATAAATGCATCTGCTAAATAAATAAATGTAAATGTAATGGGGAAAAAGTAGTAGCAGCGAGGATGAGGGAAAATTGGGTGATAAAGAATATAGTATAAGGAAATGTTTATCTTTTTGCACTCACGTGTTGCACTAGGCTGAAACTTTTCTCGTTTGTAATTATCTCCAGCACTACATCTTTCTGCACTGCGCCTCAGCTGGTGACCCACCAGTGAGGTTACTCTGGAGATTCTGGGCTCTGACTGCACTTTTTTCTGCTCAACTGGGGTAAACGTTAGTGGAAGAGCGCCCCCATCTGATAAAAAAAAAAACACACACAAAACGACAGCGTTAATAGGCATAAAATTTCCTGGACAGTTGTAGTAGGATATTATAAAATCTGTCAACTCACTTTTCAGTTGATTATTGATTTGTTTCTGTTGAAGGTCCGTTAGACCAGACTTTTGCATCATTACTACAATGAAACAAAACAAACCCACAGATGGAGCAAAAGAAAAGATCAAAACAAGATATGCATGATTGTTGGAGCACGCGCGCGCGCGCACACACACACACACACACACACACACACACACACACACACACACACACACAATACACAAATATATGGTTTGGTGACTGTTCGATAGGTGTAATAATGGTATACTGTTCTGAATATTTTATTCCCTTACGTTACTCTGTTACAGAAAACGTTCTGCCTTTTCACAAAAGTAACTTAAACCTTTAAAGTCCACAGCCTAGGCATAGAAAAACACACAGTAGCCCACACTCATAGACACGCACACACACACACACACACACGTTGTATTAACTGTCGTGTCTCCGTTCTGTAGTTAGTGACTCTGGACTCCTTATATTTTGATCCGCTGGCCATCATTCCTGCAAAATAGAAACACTTTATTATTTATTTATTTATTTTTAATTTTTTGCCATACCAAGAAAGCTGGTATTTTGGTCGTCGAAGTTTTACTCACGTTACAAACGCAAAAACAGCAAAGTGGTTCCTATGGTAACACACGCAAAACAAGACCGAGGAGAATCCAGCAAAGAGAACACCAGTCTAACAAAGAAAGCTGAACGATCTCTTTGTGTTTTGGGGTGTTTAGAGTTGCTTTCGAGATGACAAATGTTTGAGATGCGCCTTGCCTCGCCTGAAATGTATGCGAGAGTAGGGGAGAGTAGGCGGCTGCGTGATAAAAGCGCAGCAGAGTCTGACATTCCTTCCAACCCGTCAGATATGCGCACTCTGGCGCACATCAATATTGCGTCATTTTTGTCACGCTGAACAACACGCCCATATATTTCACTACTTGCGTGAGATCTTCTTCATCTGAGGTACGTTTTCCACTAATGAGAAATGTTTATAAACGAGTTAGTGTTAGTAAATGTTAGTATACTCGCTCATTCAAAGCAAATTCATAGCATGTGTTCATGAAAACATGGAAACACAGGCTAAGTTAGATATGGCGGGGTGGGGCAGGCTAGTATGATTTGATTGTTTGGTGTAAAATATAAACACAAAATTATGTCAAAATGTCCGTTTTGTCGAGTGTCCTCATAAGATCAGTCTTAAATTAATTAAATAAAGTATCAAATGATCATAAACAGTGTGAGGCGTGTGAGATCAGCTTCTCTCTCAGCAGCGGCAGGTTTCATAAAAATATGCCATTTCATAAAAATATTTAAAAGATATAAGTTACTCTATATTGTTTTTTTGCATTAATTTGGAGATCACTGCTCACTCCAATGTCCCCACTTCAAGGGCTCTGCCCTTCGAAGGGAGTAGGGCATAGGGATGCTCTCTTCCGTTTGGAATTTTCCCTCAGTAGTATAGACGAATCCGGCGAAACTACCGGAAGTAAGGGGGGCGCCATTACTGAGCTGTTGCTGGGTAGCGTTGCGCCATTGCCTCCTATTGTTTTAGTTGCAACTTGCGTCCACTGGAATAAACAGCCCGCGATTTACGACTGTCACTAACGTTACAACGTTAGCCCTTGTATAATGTCGAGTGGGTAAACAGTTTCCGTTATAAATTGTTTCAATGGTGGCAGTACAATTTCAATTTTGAAGAGAAAACACTGTGAATACCCCGGGTCGACTGCCCCTGTCTGGTGCCGTACGGTTTACAGATTTCCTGGGCGAGTACAAGACGTGGACATTCGCGTATAATAACAATTATTTAATGACATAAGTAAAAAATATATAATAAATATGTGATATAGTGATCAGCAAAATCTCCTCTTGCTATTTTTTCTATTCAATTAACATGCTATGGTCATTAAATGGCTTTCCTGAGCTAAATGTAACGTTATGTGACATAATTGTTTTCCTGCTGTTATATTGACCTCTTTCCATGGCTTAAAAACACTAATTGGTCGATATTATGTATACTTTCTAGCTGTAACGTTACCTTACCCTTGCCTGTTGCATTGTGAAAATGAGATAAATAATGGACACAAATGAAAAACATGAATTTGTTTATTTGATTTCATTTATTTATTTATTGTTGCCAAATGGACAGATCTTTTCATAGTTTCCTCATTAGCAAACGTTAGCCTAGCTAGCTTGCCAAGCTATTTTCATAAATAACGTTAATCTGTAAGATCGTTTGTACCTTCATCTGTGACTGGAGGCCACTGCAGTCACAGATCAAACCAACAAGTCATTCTGCCTGGCTGTAGCTGTCATCGAGGGTGAGTTCGCGTTATCACCGAGGTTTGTTTACATACCGGTGCATATGTCTATATGCCTGTGTAACAGCTCAGTAATGGCGTCGCCACAAGATGGCAGCCTACACAGAACGCTCGTCGGATTCGTCTATATTGCTACCATTCACTTCTTATGTGTTATATTAAACAACATGGCACTTAAAGTTTCATTTCATTTATTTTCATTTATTTATTTATTTTACAGGGACAGTGCTCATTAATTAACAGTAAAATAACTGTAAATGAGCCAGAGTTAGCTCAACAGGCTAATTTGCATCTGTTGTCCCTGGCCAGTTATTATGATGGCAACCTAAAAACAAAATATAAAGCAAGAAATGTATTTCACAGTCCACAAATAATAACAACATTAAAAGTAATAAAAAGACAAAAACGACACAACAATAAGTAACGAATCACACAAGACAATCTGCCAGCAAGCCACAATTTTCAGTAGGCAGTCAGTGGTTTAATGTGCACATATCTGATTATCAATTAGCCAGTTCTTAAGCTGACCAGTAAAGGAACGATAAGTTTTTGTATCTCTTATCAGACTTGGCAATTGGTTCCACTGTTTAGTTGCAGTTACAGAGAACGCTGACTGACTAAAGGCACTTTTTCGAGTGGGAATGATGCAGTCCCCTCTTGTGACACCTCTGGTGACATGACTACCTGCTCTCTGCATAACAAATGTCTTCAGTGGAGGTGGAGCCGTGCTATGCAATATCTTATAGACTAGACAAAGGTTACTATAAGTGATTAAATTTTTTAAAAAAGTCTATGGGTATTTAAAATTTGACAGGTATGAAAACTATTAGGTTTCCGAACTAAAACTTTAAGAGTACGTTTATAAAGACTTTCTAGTGACTTAATTGTAGACTTGTTAGCTTGTGCCCAGCTTGTCAAACAGTATGTAAAATGCGGGATAATCATGGCATTCATATATAACATAGCAGTTTCAAAGGTAAATGATTCCCTAACAAATCTAAAATTACTCAAATTAAATCTGATTCGTTTGCACATACTTTTCACATGAGCTCTAAAACACAGATTCGAATCAATCCAAACACCCAGATACTTGTATTCAGTCACAACTTGCAAATTTTGACCTAATACCATTATGTCAGGGTCTGGAACGCTACATGGTCGTTTTGAGAAGAACATGCTTACCATTTTACAAACATTTAACGTCAGACATGATCTGTTAAGCCATGTTGTGATATAGTTCAACTAAGTTAAACTATTGCTTTTTGGGTGTGTGTATTATACCATTTCAATCATGCTTTCGTTCGTTTGGGGTCGTCTTCCAGCATGCTGCAAAGCACACACTACTCCTCTGCATTACCTATACATTTGTTAACATTAAAAAAAGATAAATATGAATTCATTGGACAATCATATCATAGTGTACTAAATGTGAACATAAACGCCATGTCTGAAATTACATTAAATCAAATCATTCTTGAATTACTTTTTGCATCCTTCAAGTTATTTTCTACTCGGAAAAATGTATTTAATCAAGTAAGAATATCCAAATATACAGAGGGGATAGAGAAGAAAATTATAGATTGAAGATAGCATCTACAGAAGTGTACTACATGACACACTGTACAATACAATACATACATTACTACAGTATTACAGAATTAAAACAGTACTGTTCACAACGACTCAGTCTTCTTAGAAGACTGAACTGCCTGGGTGTCAGTGCTCAGATTACTGTGCTAGTGTATATTACACATATTGAAAGTGTTTTAACTTTTCACCTTTCTGCTTGACCACTTAAACAGCAAGCTAAAGAAAAAGCTCAACAGGATAGTGTCAATGGCCAGCAAAATTGTAGGTAAACCACAAAAACCACTGTCCCAAATACATATTGACAGAACGAGGAATAAGGCTAGTAAAATCACTGCAGACAGTACTCACCCCCTTTCCATCGAGTTTGAACTAATGAAGTCTGGGAGGCGCTTTAGAGTGCCTCTGGCTAAAAGTTCCTTTAAAAGATCTTTTATTCCAAATGCCATTAGTATCCTTAACAAAACAAAACAACAGTAATAAATGAGCTGCTATTTTATTTTGCCGGTTTCTTGTTTTGTTTGTTTATTTTGTATTTAAATTGATAACATGGACTTTGAACCTTGCCTGGATGAGTACGAGATGGATTGCCCTTAATTAAATTACTGCAACTGGATTTTCTGTTCCCTGTGTGTGTTCGTGACAGAAGGCCACCCATAGCATAAGAATAAATAACTTGATTCATCAGCAAGCCACTCGGTCCCTTGCCGTGAGTGAAAAGAAGAGTCATAGAGATTATATGGGCCAACAACTGCTTCAACCTGACCAGTGACATTTGCAGCCCAGACCTTCATTACTGGAAAAGAAAGACAAAGTTAGTGTTGTCAATAATTTTTCGAATTAACGAGCCAACATAAAATGAACTTGGCAAAATGAACATGCCAAACATTCAAGGCTGTAGGTTTGGACAATTCTGTCCTCCTAAAATGTATGCAAACCTGCACCCTTGCAAACAGTCATCATGTCAAAAGTGTACAGGACAGCTAGAGGAAGTGGATATAACTCAATACAATTTATGTATCTATATTAAATAAAAATAAAAATTAGAAAAAAATTTTCATTTTGGTGGGTGCAGTTGTGAAGGTTTTTCAGCCCTTTCATGCATTTCGTTCATGCATTTCGAATTTTTTAGGCATATTTTTTAGGGGTTGTTTTTTTATGATTTGTTGGTTATTATGTCCACTTCCTATAAATAACGGTGACCTGTGACCAACAGGTCAAAATGGCCACCATGATTTAAACACTGCAAGCAAGCAACCATAACAAAAAGACCAAACTGGTCAGTTAGGCCAAACTGGCAACTAAGGATGAACAGAGATCTCTGTAAATATAAAACCTTGTTCCTCTGAGATTTGATTTACATCTGATGGGAACTTTATTGCTTTCTCTTCATCTGTTGGGATTACTTTTAGCTCCTTGATGTACCCATTTGTTTGGTCAAGCATTTCAGGAGAAACTTGAATAACAGAAGGTCTTTGTAATGCTGAATCTTGGACCATCTCAGAATCATTTACCTTGGTCACAGAATGCGGAGTGCCGTGTAGGTGCAACAGTGCGAGGAGGCATCTTGCAAGAACTGTTACTCTCCGTAGACCCACTGATTGAGATAACAGAACAATCATCAGGCACTTTTCCAGTTTGGCTTCTCCTGTAAGGTTTAATGTGACCAATGCTATATTTAGTTTTAAAGTAATCCCTCCACGTTTGTTTAATGTGACAAGTTTGCCACTGAGTCTCTCAATGATGTAGGGTCCTGAGAAGTCAGGTTCAATCCTTCCTCCTTTTCTTCCACGCTTCCTCATATTCATCAGAAGAACCTCATCACCAACATTGTAAATCAAGTCTTTATACTTCTTCTGGACCTGTTTAGCATATACTTCCTTCTGTTTCTCCTATGATTTACCAATGTTTTCTTCCGCCTGCTTTTTGGCCTCATCTCTTTTTTTTATCGGAAACTACATAATC